TGTAAATGGAATTGTTTTCATACATTCTTTTTCAGTTTGCTCATTGTTAGTGTATAGAAATGCTAATGATTTTTCTATGTTGATTTTATATCCTATTAAAGTTTTAAAAAAGCTAAAAAAATAAGCAACCATAATATTTCTTTCTTTCTTTCTTTCTTTTGTGGTACTAGGGTTTGAACTCAAGGTCTTCACCTTGAGCCACTGCACCAGCCTTATTTTTGTGATGGGTTTTTTTGAGATAGGGTCTCTCGAACTATTTGCCCAAGCTGGTTTCGAACACTATCTTCCTGATCTCTGCCTCCTGCGTAGCTAGGAGTATAGGCGTGAGCCACCAGCACCCAGCACAACCATAATAAAAAAGTAATGAACTATTGATATACACATACAACTCTGAATTGACCTCAAAAAAAATTGTAGTGAGCAGAAAAAATCAATCCCCAAATCTGCACATTGTAAGACTCCATTGATATAGTATTCTTTTTTTTTTTTTTTGGCAGTTTTGAACTCAGAACTTCATGCTTGCTAGGCAGGCACTCTACCACTTGAACAACTCCGGCAGTCCTTTTTGCATTGGGTATTTTCAAGATAGGGTCTCATGAACTGCCTGGGCTGGCTTCGAACCTTGATTCTCCTGATCTCTGCCTCCTGAGTAGCTAGGATTACAGGCATGCACTACCAGTGCTCAGCTAGTATTCTTGAAATGATAAAATTACATATTAATATACAATTTACTATGGAGCAATTGCCCAATAAAGCCATCTTTAAGTTGAAAATATAAATCAAAACTGCATTTAAAACCTATCCTACCAAATGTCATAGCTTAGCAACATAGTATACATTAGAGTAGCAGTTATTTTCCCTTCCTGATCATGTGACTGTCTGGGATCTCTGGCTTGCTGCCACTACCTAGCACCATGGGAGACTATAACACTGTATATTGCTAGTCCAGGAAAAAATAAAAATTGAAAATTTGATGTATAGTTTCTACTGAATGCATTTCACTTTCACAACATTGTGAAGTCAAAAAAATCTTGTCAAACAAGTTGGGAACTGATTGTATATAGAAAACAGATTAGTGGTTGCCAGGAGTTAAGAAGGTGATAGGGACAGGATGTAGGTGGGAGGTTATAATAGGATAACATAAGGAATTTTTGTAATGATAGAAATTTTCTGTTTCTTTTTTTTTGTGGTACTGGGAATCAAACCCAGGGCTTTGTGCATGCTAGGCAAACACTTAACCATTGAGCTACATCCCCAGTCCAATGTTCTGTTTCTTGAATATATCAATGTCAATATTTTGTGATACTGTACTACAGTTTTGCAAAACGCTTATCATTGTGGGTAAATGGGGGAAAGATTGCAGAGAATCTCTGTATTATTTCTTACAACTGCATGCAAATCAATCTATCTCAAAATTATGACTTCAATTTTTTTATTTTTAATTTCCCTATGTACCCCAGGCTGGCCTCAAACTCATAATCTTCCACCTTCAGCCGCCTGAGTGTGGAATTACAGTCACAGTTCACCACCTAGGACACAATTTTTTCTTTTTCTTTTTTGCAATACTAGGGCTTGAACTCAGGGCCTACACCTTGAGACACTCCATCAGTCCTTTTTTTTGTGATGGTTTTTTTTGAGATAAGGTCTTTTGAACTATTTGTCCTCCTGATCTCTGCCTCCTGAGTAGCTAGAATTAGAGGAGTGAGCAACCAGTGCCCAGCTAAATAGTTATTCTGTTTTTTTTCTTTTTGGCAGTACTGTG